AAGTAATTTTCATTAAAACATTTTAAATCGTGGATTGTAAGAGATAGTATACACTTTATCTTTATTTTTCAAATATCATAAGATCCCTTACTCCTGATAGTTAAGATCATATGCCAAAGCCCTTTGTAGAATTGTTTTTGAAAGCGAGATTACCAGCGAAAAGTATGAGTAGTTTCTTTCAAGAACTGAAAATCAAATAAATCGTTTTTTTTTCATTTATACAACCTGAAACAACAGGTGCTAGCATGAAAAACTAAATAATCAAATTCGATTTAGCTTCATGAATCGGTTATCTCATTCTTTATCTTTTTCGATCGAAACTATATCAGGTAATAATGAATTGTTTCTAAAGCTGTATCTCGTCGGTGATATCAAAGTTTCGCTTCGGAAAAAGAAAAGCATATATTTATTTAACCCCAAATCTATTGACATATGATTTAATTGTCCGCTCCGGCTCAGAGAAAAATGTATTCTCCTGAGCGAGATAGCTGTTGCTCTATTAGAGCCTTGAACATCGTTGATTATGAGAAAAAAAGTCGAGCTAGTTCATTTCGTTCCTTCCCGAATTTAAAATGGCATTTAATATCGTTAGAGACTTTGATCAAAGAATTGAAACTGAGAAGTGATGTAAATGCTGTTGAATGTGATACCTATTATTTGTTCAAGTTCTTGAAAGACTTACAGACTCTTATATTTGAGAAAGGCGTCATCAGTTCGAAGACAATGATCAAATTTTTATATTTAAAGAGGAAGCTGCTGATTATACTGAAAGCTAATTTGTTCAATGAATACATCGATTTCCTTGAGACGAAGTTAAGAAAATCGCTAAAAAGTTCTGAACTGGAAATGCTTCTCAAGAAATTTATAACAGTGTACAATGTGCAACAGCCTCAGACAGAACTGACTGCAGAAAGTATCCATCAGTATGAATTCCTTGCAGAGCTTTTAAATCATTGCTGTAAAGCAAATGTACAGGACAGTCAGTTGGTAACATCTTTGGTCAAGATGGCCATTGACAGGCATGTGATAAAACTATCGTGCATTAGGACAATTAAGCAGCCTTCATATCCTCAGGGATTCCTTAGATACATTCTTGAACATGTTTCAAGGGAAAAATTCGATATCGAGACATATTGCAGAGATCATCCACAAACTCTTTGGGAATATTCAAAGAACTTTTCTGTTTTGAAAGCTATATCGATTGGAAACTTGGATCGAACAATGGTACTTCTCAAGTATGGCTTCGAAGTTTTAACGGAACAAGAAATGCGGAGATGTGGTCATGGCTTCCCTGCAATGTAAGTAGTGTTCCTTTTGTATTTTACCTTCGATATTTTTTTTTAATTTCTACTTTTGTCTATTTGTCCTTTTTGAACTCATTTAGACTTGTTCTCATTATAAGTATTGTTGGTACTTACGTATTATACCATAGACCAATCCATCAAATGAAAATATATCGTCAAAATACCACGATATGCTTTCCAGAAAAAAAACTGTTTCAAACAAAACAGTCGTGCTGACGCAAACATTGACTGTTTCGTATTGTAAATATTTATATATATAGTTCTGTTTAAATTTTCTTTATTTTAAATTTATTTTTAATTGACAATTTATTGTATCATACTATGCTTAAGCCGTGAGTTTCCTTCTATATTATTATTGTCAATAATTCGTGTAACTCTATCATATCTGATTTTACTTAATTTATATTTTCTTATATATATATAATCGTCGTTTGTTAAAATTATGCTTTAAATTGGCAGCTTTAGTATTATTCTAAGAATATTAGTTCAGACGGAAAAAAGAATATTGTAATGCATAATCGATGCAGGTTAAACTTAATATATATTTAATTTTTGTATATTTTCGAGATATTATCATTCATCCGGAGATTTTTTTTATTATTTCATTGGTTATAAGAATAAAAGGTGTCTGTGGAGTTAACTTTGGCTGATATTATTCGGAACGTCAGCATTTTGAGACGTCTTTTGATTTGGCGATGTTTACAGATTTGTCGAAATTGGTCTTCAATGTAATATGCAGTACCACATTATTTTGCAATATTGTTGGGGGGAGGGGCTTTGTTTTTTCATAAACATAAAGTAATGCAATGTATTTCCCCTGAATTTTGGATGAAAAATTTCACTTTTGCACTCAATAGACAGAATAAATTAAGTAATACTAATATAATGTAATGAAGTTTTTATCTGGGAGATTTAACGGTACTTACATATTACTTATTAAGGGTACTTATACATTTCGCATACGTCGTACTCAATTAATTGGCAACCATGTGTTTTGTTTCATACAATGTCACCAATATAGTTGCGATAATACGTAAGTACCGATTTGAGTAGTCAATTTGATTTATGATGTTTCTGAAAAATATTTGGCCTTTAAAATATGTGAATAAGTTTTAACTTAGCAAATATGCAAAAATATTGCAGCAAAAAAAAAAAAAAAAAAAAAAAAAAAAAAAAAACGCAATTTTTTTTTAAAATGGTGCTGTTTAAGTAAATATGGGTTATTTCATATTTTTTGATGAATTTGCATTCATTGATAATAATTTAGATTACTTTCATCCTCTTTTAATCGTGACATAAATTGTGTCTTTTTACAAGAAAATAAGCTTTTGTATTTTCTAAATATATCTTTCATTAAAAACGTTATTATAATATTTGAATACATGTATGGTAAATGAAAATTTTGATTTATGTATACTATTGGACCACTTTGTCGTATTCTGTAACTTCTCAAAAGGATCTATTTTTCAAAAGTATTGAAACTCAGAATTAACAAATGAGTTACTTAAATTTTTATTAAAAATCTTTTTTATTTATTTACTTCCCCAAATAAGTAATATTCAAATATGCTCAGTTAAAAACGAAAAAATTCAAAATCTGCTCGTAGAGCTTTTATATGGACTGAATAATGAAATATCAGACAATATTTTCTCTTTATTACCCACTGATGGGTTATTGTTTTAGCTAGCAATAAATTGTACCTAACAATTTTTCAAATATCGAAACATATCGTTTTACATTTTATTACAATTTGATTTTAAAGAATGATATATAATTTTATTACATTAATTTTGTTTCCAATTTAATATTTCTATCAAATTTTAGAATATGTAAGGGTTATACTATGTTGCTATTGTAATGTAAACAAAAATTATACTTATTTATTTTGAAATAATTAATATCATATTATATATTTTAAAATAATTTAAACATGTAGAATTTTATATCATTTTAATTTGTATTCAGATTTTTGCAAAAGATACTTCTGTCAACATCAAGTCAATGTGTCGTAATTGTATTAATTCACAGAATTTATAAATATTACGAAGTACACGTTGGTTGAATGAAATAAGTACAAAAATTACAGTCATTTATTTACTATTTTCAATTACTCCTATTTAAGTGTTCTCAATTACGAATATCAAAAACTGTGAATCTGCTGTTAGGCCTCTCATATAGAACTGAATAATAGTTTCTTAAAATTTTGAGCAATCCCCCCCTTTCCATAAAATTAATTTTGTATATTAATTATTAATAATTATATGATTAAAATAATTACTTTACATTAATTAAAAATAATTATAGTTATTATTAATAATTATATTATTAAACTGTTTACTTTATATTAATTAAAAATAATTATTTTATATTAATTCAAAATAATTATTTTATATTAATTAAAAATAATTATTTTATATTAATTAAAAATAATTATTTTATATTAATTAAAAATGATTATTTATATTAATTAAAAATAATTTTTATATATTAATTCAAATTAATTAAACATAATAATATTTTATTTTAATTAATTAACTCTAATATTCTTTTCAGAGAAGAAGTGATTCCTAAAACTCATCAAATGACCCTACTGTTGATGTCAAGCGTAAGATCAATAAATCTCCTCATTTTGAAATCTCTACCTATATACAACAAGGGTCTATCTACAGCATCCAACGATCAAAAGGACTGTTTCCAATTTATTTGGCGAGCTATTCCAGATCCAATTCCTACATGTGCTGAATTGGAATCAAGTATCGCCAATGAATATTCCCTCCTCGCTCAAAATGGAGTACTGAGACCGAAACGCTTCTGTGAGAATACTGATCTTTGTATAATGTACAAAAGGTGTGCCACAAACCAGGCACATCTAACCAAAGAGCCTCGATCTTTGAAGCATCTATGTAGGTGTGCTGTTCGCAAAAGTTTAAAAGAATGTTGCAATCTCCCCCACGGAATATTTCAACTAGGTCTACCAGAGACTTTGGAGCAATACCTGGATTTAGAAATGGAATAAAAATGTTGAACTTTTTGACTTTTTTACAAAAAAATGTAGCCATTTTTTACTTCATATAAAGATCTGTTGGACTAATTATGCCCTAATTTAAAAATGTATAGCGTTTAATTAGAACTTTTTATTATTTTTATTTTTCTATTCATAAAAATATGCATTTAATATAACTAAAAACTGTATTGTTTCAAGGCTGTCTTCATTTAATGCCAAAAAGCTTGAGCTAAACACTGAACTGGACCGAAAACTAGTCTCAGTTTTCATATTAATTCGGTTCACAATAACATAGATATTTATTTATCATGCTGCATCTTTGAAGTTTAAAGTTTCTAAGTAACAAGAAATTTAAAAAAAAATTTTTTGTTAAGGTCAAATCTTACTTAGACCAACAAGTAAAAAATTTATTTTAGTTACTTTTTATTAAATAGTAACAATTAATATAAATGTGTATATACATATAACAGAATCACAATATTAAGTTACAAAATAGAAGGCGATTTTCCTACAATTTTCTATTTACTTTTACTTTACTTTCTATTTACTTTTCAATTTTCTATTAACTTTTTCTATTTACTTAATAGTGGAATATTTTGTGTGTGTGTGTGTTACTTTCTTTCATTAATTGAATTTAATTATACTAATAAAATAGTATAGCAAAAAAGAAGTCACATTCTCCGAAATTAGGCCGTTCCAGGTGGGATTCGAATCCACCACCTTTGGATTAGAAATCCAATGCGCTATCCATTGCTCTACAGGTACACTACGAACGATTTTACTTTCTATATATGCTGTTGGACTGTTATTTTTGTTACTATTTATTCATTTTTTAGTTTAAGTAATGAAGTAAAATTTGAAAAAACTGTATATTAAAATCAAATGTCATGCACTACAAATTTTAAGAAATGTATTTGAACTTGAATGGATAAGTAGAAAGTATTTTATAAAGGATTGAAAATTTGAGCAAGATATATAAATACATATATATATATATGGAGAGTGTGAACTAATAGTAGAAACTGAAAAAATACGCAATTATTTTCTTTAAAATATAATGTGGAAAAAGAAAACATTTAGCATTGCGATATAGAAAATGAAATATGGAATGCTTTTTATACCAGAAAGTTTTTTATATTACTCTTCTATATTAATCGTCTCTCAGATAGGATACATGTACCTCCAAATGGATACAGAGTGACAATTAGGAGTACACCAATCTCATATAAGTATAAAATATGGATTACTTCTCTTATAATTAATTTTGTTTAGGGATGCGTACTCAAAAAAAGCTAAGAGACCACTGATCTTATGAATTGAATGAGTGTTTCTTGACTTCACACTATAAAGCAACACAAGGGTTTTTGGCGACAGACCTCTTAATTTTAAGCCAAGGTCAAGTGACGAGGACTACATTGAGATGCACCCATTCTCCTAATTCCCACACTATGCAAAGTGAGGACTTTGAGCCACGATAGATTTAACGTGCATCAGCCTCTCTGCACGGTGAGTCGTTAGTGGCTCTAGGGCTCGAACTCAGGACACGGTTACCACGTGTCCGTGCTTCTCTAAATGGAAAGGAAATCAAAATTTTATACTGGCATTAATGTTGCAGTCTGAAAAAAAAAAGATCTGATCACATTTATTAATGTTATACGGAGGCAACCTTCATTTGTGTTCAGATTTTTACAAAACGTCTGTTTTTCAGCATTCATGTTATTTTAAATGTTTTGTATATGCTCTAAATTGTGTAATGTGTAAGCTTCTTAGCGTACTCATTATTTTACATACTATTTGATAAAAATTTGCAGCACTTTTGAAAATTCCAGAAATAAATTGTAGTTTAAAAAAACTAAAAAACAACCCTTTTATAGTTAGGCGAATTAAGTTGTAACTTAATTTTTTAGTCCCCAAATCTGAAAATGGGATCTGAAATTAGTCACCAGATGCGGGATCGGATCTGAAAATGGGAAATCGTGATCTTGATTATTCTGTGTGATTAGAACAATGGAATAAAATTATTAAATTATTATATAATCATCGGTCCTGGACAAGTGAGCCAAATTTCGAATTAATCTGACCTTTTAAAGTGGGTAAAAGTTGAATTCAAAAATTCCATTACATACAAGTGAAGCTTATAAAAGGATGTTAAAAACTGTATAACAGATGAAAATGATTTAATTAATTGTAGATATTATGTTAAAATTTTTTTTTACTAATCATTATGTTTATCATTTTCTGAACATGGTGTTTTGCTTTAGTGTAACTTATTTTGATAAATAAATAAATTATTTTATATAAAATAGTTTGTGTGTGAGTGTGTATTTTATAATAACAATTTTACTTGATTCTCAAAGCCACATTTTTCGCTCAAAAAAATTGGGAAATATAAAAAGATAAAGAAGAAAAACATTTTAAATCTTACCAAGAAAAAGTAAATTATGTTATACAACAAATATTTATAACAAGTTTAAAAACTTAAAAGGTTTTAAACATGTAGAATTTAAAAAACTTTAAGCACTTATTTTTCAATTCATCAACATTTCTTGTCAAAGTTAAGAAAATATTTGTACACTGTATTCTATTTTATCTGTAGAAAACTATAGAATCTGCTTTCATGAAACTCCTTTTTATTGTATTCTGCGTTAGAACAAATTTTAAATTAATGAAATAAAATAAGAAATAATTTATGTTTCTTAGAGAAAAATGTTCCTTTTTCAAAATATTCAAATATCTTTTTTTATTTACAAAAACTACTTTTTTAAAAAACAAACTAACATTTCACAAATCAAAAACGATCTAAGAAAAAAAAAGTGATTTTCTGAAATAGAATCTTTTTTTAGATTATTTTTGATAAATTTGTTCGAATATCAAGTTAAAAGCAACTTTATAGGATTTGGATCATCATGACTTAGCTACTTCATTTGAAAAAAAAATAAGCTTTCAAACATCAGAAAAGCCGCCCATGCGGTATAGTGGTCAGTGAAGCTGACTGCGGTGCCGCAGGGACTGGGTTCGAATCCCGGAGAAGGCATGGATGTTTGTGTTGTAATCCTTTCTCTTCTGTCTGTGTTGTTTACCCCGTGTTATACGTTCGGTGGTGCACGGGGTTTATAAATGTTTAAAAAAAAAAAAAAACATCAGAAAAAAATATGTTTACCAAACATTATAAATAAGTTCCTTACACAGTTTAAGGTAACTAGGACGTGAAATTGCTTCAAATTTTGCATTTTTTATTTTATTTTTAGGAAAATAGAGGGCACTATTGTGCATCCATAGATGCATTATTTATGAGAATTCGATAAATAGAATGCTAGAAAATTGAATTTTAAAATGTTTAACAAATGTGATGCAACTGTGATTAAGATACACTTTCATCAAAATCCGTATTGTATTTAATATGTATTGTAAAAAACTAATTTTTCTATATTATATATTCAAATTTATTGAAAATTCTACGTTTTTTGTGCAAAATTTACGGAAAACTTAAATGATTAGTTACAAAATTTTAAAATAAAATTTTGTTTATTGAAATTTTATTTATGTCTAGTTTTGCATTTATAAATACTCAGTGTAGTTCTTAAATTATAAAACAAGTGGATATAGTACAAAGGGGATCTTGAGGATTATTCTAAATTAAATACACAGCTTGTCTTAGCCTTTTTATTGATGTAACAACTAAAAAAAAATGCCCCGAAACAAACGTATATGTTGGTCCATAATGACATCCCGTTAGATGTGGCCTGTCATCGTTACACTCTGAACATGCAGGTCAGTTCTGGAACCAAGAATAATTCCTCCCCAAACGAGCCATCCGGCACCACCGTAACGGTGTCCTTTAATGGTGTTCTCTTGGTGGTAAAGGGTACCTGGCGCTCTCCATATGAAAGTCCGGCGAGAATCAGACTGCAAACTAAACCTGGACGCAATGGGCAAACCAATAGGTTCAGACAATTGCTTCTTTGTGCTTTTTCCTAATGTTAGCCATAATGAAACCAGAAGGATGAGAAGAGCTATAATTATTAAAGTGTTCAAGCCCATTTTTTTTCAGTTACCCAAGTATTGAGTGTTCTGTTGTTACACTTGAAACTTTTATCAAAAGCCTAATTTGCGTTTTTATCTAAAAGAAGCTTTCTTATCTTTGTGAAGGGTGATATTTAAAGATCTCCAATCTATTATGCAAAGAAAAAAAATTTTTAAAAGCTCCATAACATTCTGTGTGGAACACGAAAGAAATAAGATACTAATATTTATCTCCAAAATGGCGATGTAGAATGAAATTGAAGAGGATATGCTTATATAAGAGAGTATTTGCATAATACTTTTGATTATCAAATTAATAATGCTATAAAATTGATTGAGAAGTATTTTACTTGCCATAGGTACTTTTATATTTATTCTAAATAACAAACAAGAAAAATGTGTGAAGGAGAGAAAAAATATAAAACATTAAAAGAAGGGTCTTGTTTTGGAATTCAGTTAATAAGGTAAGATATTTTTTAACTGTTAATAAAAAAATAACATTGGCATTTTTATTGTTTTGCAGCAACAAAATTATTAATTAGAAAGCACATTCAAAATAATTGATTAAAGAATAATGATTATAATATTTGATGTTTATCAATAATTGAATTTCATAATGTTAAAAACGTGAGCTTGTAGCAGGTCTATCCATGTTTTTATTAATAATCCTCTTGCGGAATTACTTTCTTTAAATATTATTTAACTGATAACTTCCTAACGAATAAGAAAACTCGATATATGTAAATTATGTCATGCATTTAAGTATTAGCTTTTGGGTTCGAGAAATACAGAGAGAGAGAGATTAGGAGCTTTAAAGAATAGCAGTGAGGATTAACCTAAGATAACGTAAAGTTAGGCGAGAGCACTTCGTAGGTTATTTGATTAATATTAAGATTGACGATTTGGTCAATTAGTTGTTGAATTCGATTTGGTCGGTTTGGATTAGATTACATTAGAAATTATTTTCAAATATAAGAAGGTGTATTACCTGGACGGCTAAGTGTAAGTGATGAAATTTATTATTATATTTCCAATTATCTTGTCTACTTCGCTATTGCTCCCGTATTTATGAATTGGTGCATTTCTTAACTTGGGTTGTTGAATTTGTGTCGTTGTTGAAACTTCTAAATAAATTGTGTTATTTTGATTATGGTTAGTTTTCCTTCTAACTCTCATACACTGATGGTTGGGGAAACCCAACAATCATTACAAGTCAGAAACATGAACAATGATTAAATTTTATTCTAAAAGAATGAGAAGAAATAAATGTATATAAGGCTCACGCAAATATACCTAAGCTTATGAGACTTCTTATGTATAACAATCAATTGAATAACAAGATTTAAAATGTGTATTTTTCGTTTGATAATTGAATGCATTTAATCTTATTTAATTTAAATTTAATTTCAAAATCTATGACAAAACTTTTACAGCATTAGAAATCTACATTAAAAATGATGTTTAACGTTTGTTGAAGTTTCGCAGGGTTAATTAAAGCTATGGCTGGTAATAAATATCATGAATACCTAAAATTTGAAAGAATAAATTATAGTTTAAAAACTGAAAAATACGCTTCTATACTGAATCCAACTAAAACGTAAAAAAATAATTCTTTATATAAGAATAAAATGATTAAGGAGAAAATTAATGTTATTGTGGGAAAAGCGTGGGGTGCTTTGTACTACATTTTTACACTAGCTCAGCATTTCGGAATAGAAGTAAGAAATTGTAACAATTGATAT